ACTGTTCAGATGAAGGTCTAATAACCAGGCACAATAGAGTGGTGGCTCTAATGATGTATGTGTGAGCACATATGTGTATTAATAAAGCTGAATAATGTAACTCATTAGCTCTCTGTACATGTGCTTGTTCATTAATTCGTTCATACCTTTCTTCATTTGGTCGTTCACACATTGGTTCCAGGTGTGAGAGGCAGGGCTGAATGTGGGCTAAGGTATGAGAATGTACTTAGTCAAGAATGTGTCTACATATGTGTGTATGTGTGTGAGGAGTCAAATAAATACCATACACTGCGGGGGACGGTTTTTGTGGGTACCAGGGTGTTTGTTAGCCCAAGAAAAGGCGTCTGTCCCGAGCTTAATTGCCCCTCATGCCCTGAGGGAACCTAGTATCCAATGTGGACATAGTTTGGGGGTCTGGAGGGGGTGTACAGTGTGGAGACACAGAGTGCGGTACTTCCGTTGGCCCCTGTAGTCCACCAGAGGGGGATCAGTGTGGGATGCCTATTCAGGCATTGGGCCCCTGCTTCTGAATACCCCATTGCTACATAGCCTAAGGGTTCAGCAACACCTGGCTAGTGAAGGGAAATATGCGGTTATATGGGTGTACACACCAGAAATCTGCTATAGATGCTGTTCAGACTTCAGACTCGAGTACTTTGTCTCTTACCATGTGCTCACACACCACACCTCATACGACAAATAATCGAACAACACTAATAAACATGAATGGGAATGATAAGGAATGTAATGATTACAATTACAGCTCTGATTCCTTTTTTGAGGAATAAAATATTTGCAGACAAAAAATTTAAATCAATTCCATTGCCAAAGATGAGATCATTTAATATTGAAATTAACAATAGAAACAATTCTACCAATGAAAGACTTTTTAAAGGGAGAGTAGGCAGTTTTTTCCCCCTCATTAACACTGTTATTCTGGTCAAAACTCTATTTACATCCTGATTTAATAATAGAAGGGCAGTTAATAATAGAAGTGGTCTAAATATTAAAACACATACATATATTGTCTGTGGAAATCTCAAGAATCTCAAAAATTGTTCGTCCAATCATTGCATTCGGTCCGATACGATGTCCTATCTGCCTGTTATATGTATTTCCATACCTCCACACACCCTGCTCGCACAGATTTGTCACCAGCATGTTTATTTGATTATAACATTATAACTGTAACGCCCTCTACTGTCCAAGGTGTAACTACCCTTTGGAATATTGGACGCTTGAACCCACCCTGTGACCCTTGGTTCAACACTACTTCTTACAAAGTGCAACTTAGTTCTCTGCAAAACCGCCTTTAACCAATTACAGCTACCTATCTGTTCCATTAAAGTAACCACACACTATTTAACTGAAATATACAATGAATTTATTTAACAGAAAATAAACAGAAGGAATTATCAAAAATGAATAAAACTAAATATAAATAAAATCTGTTCAATCAGCTTCTGAATAAACAAGAATTTTCAAATACAGTGTTTGATTGACTCTTCTGTGCACAACAACAGACACTTAAAGGGTTAACCTATTAAACGTCTATCAAAAAAGGGCTTTCCAATGAATCACTCTACTTATTTTACACAAAGTACAAATTTGTCTTTACTTAGTATAAACCAATATACCAATGTAATAAGTACAGAAGAAATATCAAATATTGCATCAAAAATACAAACTGTAACCCTGTAATAATTTACTCAATGAATCAGAGAGAATTTAACCATTATATCATTCCAACATAATCATTCCAACATCATCAAACCCAACATATTTTGGGCCTACAACATGCCCACACACACACCCTGTTGCAGGCCTGAAACATTGCTTGTGTGCGTCAAGGCCAAGTGAAACGGCTTCGCTATATAATAACAAATAAAATAAACAAAGTGTAGGCTACCTGAGTGTAAGTGGCAAGAGTTAAAGATTTCCGTCACCCGTCAGATCCATCTACATGAAGCTGTCATCAGTTAGCAAACTCCTCAGCGGCTCCGTCACCTCCTGAAACAGGCAATCGCTTAGATCACCTTTGATTCTTTCACATTCGCCGATGTAAGGGATGAACCCATAGACTGTAAAAAATATGGACAAACCACCCGTGACGTCACCCATAGACTTCCTGAAGAACGTTTTTGAGGCCGTTTATGGGGAGTATAGGCAGCGCCTAGTTGGAAAATCTTTTCAGAAAGAATACAGAGGTGGTATGATGTGTTGTGTCAGATCAAATTTAAGGAATTCCACTCAGCGCAACCCGTTATCAGCTGTCAATCACGCTGTCAAAGTTAACCACACCCTTATTTGTCATACATTTTATATCTCAATATGATCTAAACTAACGAGTTAGAAAAAAAAATTCACCCCCCTCACAGTTGTCAGACACTCGGAACCTATCGAAAAATACAATAAGTCCATGGGACCAACCTGTAAAAACATGAATTTATGCTGTGAAAACGGACATTTTAACATAGGAGTCTATGGACATTTGCTCCCTTTTGGGACCTCCCTCTAGCGGATTTTCGTTGCATTTCAGTTTTTCGCACTTCCGGGTAGGCTTCATTTTTTTAGATTACGCGAATGCGCAGCACGATCTCCAATCTCTGTGTGCGAGTGAGAGATGTGTGTGTGCGCTTCAATGAAAGCAGTGCATTAATATAAAATGGTGATTAAACAGTAACATTGCTTAATGAATTATTTTCTAGAGTGTCACAGTAAAGCACAATCTCTCAACATTGTCAGACTTGCATGACAAAACAAAACTGGCAGTGCAAGTGAGCTTCTGCGCCTGAGAAACATTGGGAACTGTATGGGTTTTTCTCTCCCTTTTTATCAGAGTGCAGCACACACACACCGCAAGATCCCACACCCCTACTTTTGTGCTCTGGATCGCATACTTTTTCCAGCGCCGGTGGCTTAACATCCCCGGCAGCGATCGTCCATGGCACCATCTGAATGTCCCCTTTGTTCAAAAATCCCAGTTCCATTTACTTACAGTGTACACAGACAGAGACACGCATATATACACACACACATAAGACATATTTGAATTATGATTGTATGTCAAGGCTTAACCTGACGTGGAGAAAATTAGATCTAGAGCATGAAAACATCATACTTCTTTAAGAAAAAACCCTAGATGCTTAGGAAAACCAATCATGCAAGACAAATAAAGTGTAGCTATGATATTTTCTCTGGCTGGGTAAATGGAAATGCATAACGTTGAACGTGATTATGATGCAGTCAACAACTTGAGAGCTATTTGTACTCGAGCCTCACTGCTTCTCTGTTGTAGTGTGCTTGGATCTGCTGGTGTTCATTGTGTGACCACGAATGTTTTATTTAAACTTAGTCGCACGCAGTTTATAAAATATATTGGCTGTTAAGATAGCAGTAGCAGGTGGAGGCCCAAGTGACAGAGGAAGCCATTGGTCTGGTTCAAGAATGCTTTTTATTTGCCACACAATGACAGTCACCCAATAATTGAGAAACTTAACTTAAATGCAACAAGGCATAAAGTGCACCAAACTCATGGTCAAATAAACTACATTCACAAGACAGAATCTAAACTGTTTGTGCACACACACAACGGACTGAGCATTTTCCCTCTAGTACTGAATTTCTGGAGTCATTTTATAGGCCGGACTACTCCCTCCCCCAGGTGTTACCACTTGAAAAGGTAAATGAGTTTCACATAAATCACATATAAATTATAACAATAATAAATACAACAACTCATATCTGCAGATTCACATCACAGCATAAATACACCCATAAACAATAAAACAAAGAAATAACTCATGAAACATTTATTTTATACAGCTATGATTGATGGATGGTGTTTATGTTCAGTCCATGTCTAGTCACAGGCTTACCCTGTGACATCAGGGGACAAATGATCAATGTGCTTATAACAGCACATACTATGGCATTGTCTGTTTTTTTAGGATGTGCTAAATAAATACAAATAAATGTTTCTAGGGGATGCACTGATATTGAAATTCTGGCCAATCCCACCAACAAGCCAATTGTTATTTTCAAGAAATGGCCAACAAATGACCAATGTTCTAAATAAAATGCTGTATTATTAAAAAAAATATATAATATATATAAAAATAAACAATAAAATTAAACCTAAACATTTTAAATGCAAAATTTAGGCATTATACAGTACAATACGAAAAATGTATATTCAGTTGATCAACACTGTAATGAATTGCTGTAAAAATTACAGCCATATTTTACAGCCGCTGGCTGTTTTCTAATAATACAGCATTTTGCTGTAAACTGCAATGCATTCTGGGGCCGCGTGGCGGTTTGATTCAAAATACAGAATATTGCTGTAAATTTCAAATCGACACAGAGGCATTGTGATCTTCAACGGTCGTGTCGTCGACTTTCGGATAGCGGCAAGAGGAGTGATTCTCAACTGGTAAGTGACTTATTTCAGTTTCTTATGTTTCATGTTGTGTTACTCGTAGACTATGAATGTAATGTTATATTCGCGGTTCATATTGGTTACCGAGGATCACGCATCCTCCGTACGGGGCGCGAGGGAGACTTGCGCGGGGCTTCAGCAGCCCAGACGCGGGTAGTATTTCACACATTCCCCGGGATCTATGGGCTCCTTTGTTGAGAAGAATTACATGCTTTTCTGACAACAGTCGGTATTCACACGAGCTTCGTGTTGATCAGCACACTTCGCCGTGATTATTTTATGGTGTAAATCAAATCAAAATCAAGTAATCTGTTAAAATGGGCGCCGAAATGAAAAAAAAAAAAAAAAAAAAAAAAAACAGATTATGAATGTTGCTGTGTCGTAACGTTATGTTTAATATTCCGGTGTGAAAATCCCTTATATTTCAGTACGAATATAAGCTATATATCCTATATATTTTAGCTATAACGTTAGCCTAAGTTACTCTCTGTGTGTAATTTGCTTAATTGTTTTCATACTTCCTTTGTTAATTTTATTTAAAAGAAAGAGTTCCTGCACTCTGAATACTAAAATATAGTTTACATATAAAATGCTGAAACATAAAAATGGTATAGTAAAAAATAAACTATTGTCACATGTGGTATTGTTTTAGGAGACACTTTGACAAGAGGACACTGGAAGGCCAAGTTGTGTGTGAGGAGAGCATTCAGCCCAGCTTCCTGTCTGGCCTTGCTACTGTTCACTGCATATTATTACATATTCAATCAGGAGAAGCCAGCCTGCACCTTGGAGTTCATTTAAAGGTAATTATTGCATTCTTAACAACCTCAGTACATTTTACACATGTACTCAATATCTGCCTTTTGATGTATTATCTATTGACTTAAAGGGATAGTTCACGTTGAAAGTAATTTTTGATATGTTTTAGCTTACCTCAAGGGCATCCAAGATCTAGGTGTCTTTGTTTTCACAGTATTTTTAATTTTGACATTTTTAGGTCGAACCATTCTTGTCTTCAGTCATATAATGGAGGTATATGGTCACCACATCAAAGAGCATGAACAGAGAAGTCCAAATTAAACATGATTTAATGACTCGTAAATGTAAGTACACATTGATGGCCTAAGACAAACGGAAGTGATCTCTCGCGCGTATACGTCACTCGTCTCGTACGTCATTCGTTTTCTCACACAAACCGCTCGTTTCGTGTCTTAGGCCATCAATGTGTACTTACATTTACGAGTCATTAAATCATGTTTAATTTGGACTTCTCTGTGCATGCTCTTTGAGGTGGTGACCATAGACCTCCATTATATGACTGAAGACAAGAATGGTTCGACTTAAAAATATAAAAATTGAAAATACTGTGGAAACAAAGACCCCTACATCTTGGATGCCCTTGAGGTAAGCTAAAACATATCAAAAATTAATTTCAAAGTGAACTATCCCTTTAATTAGTTAAATCAGGTGTTTTAATTTGTGGACATAGGGTTAGGGTTGGGAGGTCTTCCTGGGAGGTCCTCATGACTGGAGTTGAGAAACACTGCTCTAACAGATTTAAAAATCATGATTACAAGCATGAAAAAATTAAAACCAAGCCTAATTACATATTGTCTGTTTCCTGACCCTTTATGTGCTTTGTAAGAGAGGAACAAAGAAGAAAATTGCCATCTAAAAGGACAGGGCAAATGGTACAGAAGAAACAGGTTGCAGTGAACCCACGTGTTGCCACTCTTCCCTGCAAAGTGGTGTGTTCAGTGGAATTTCTGAAATGTAAGTACACACACAAACACACACACAAATATCTATTTTTCCTTTAATTGTAACCTTTTAATATTCTTTATCTGACTCTAACTGTATCTGTCATCCCTCTGTCTGTCACTGACTGTATCATTATGTTTTGTAATATATCTAATGTAATGTCCTTTTCAATATTTCTAGCCACTCTTTGCATCCTGTGATGGAACAGCATCCGGAGCTGAATTATTCTCCATTTTTGATCGTGTTTTGGACTCACTTGGGGCCTTGTTGTTTGGACATGTTTGTCTGGGAACGAAGAGGTGACAATTCATTCATGTCTGTTTTTTTTTTTTTTTTTTTTTTCAGAACCATTTTATTATGATCATGTTGGTCAACTTGTTGTTTTAAATGTCATTTGCGTATTTCTTCTTTGTGTGAAGGGCCCTGATGGCTTATTTGTTTTAAGTAATTAAAAAAAAAAAAATTTCATGTCCATTTGTAAATAATAATAATAAAAAATATATATACAAAATACACTGTTTTATGCTTTTTTTCCATGCATATTTTAAAGTTATAAATTAAATAAATGTTGACCTGTTTTTATAGGATGTTGAATAGTTTGTTTGTTTTGTGAAGTAATAGGGGAATTAAGTTGCGTGTTATACAACACTTACTGAATTTAAAAACAATTGTTTAAAGCATATGCAGTTGATAAATAATTAACATTTAAAATTCAGCTGGCATTTTACATATTTCCCAGATATAGCGAATACAAAGATTCATGGAACTACTGTAAAAAATACAGTTATTTATTTACTGTAATCAGAGAATACAGTAAAAATCTGTAAATTAAATTACAGAACTATACTGTAAAAAATACAGTAACTGGCTGGCAACCCTGCTGCCAGTATTTTACTGTAAATTTTACAGGAAAATTTTTTACAGTGAAGGTATGCCATGAAAAGCCAAGACAGATCATCCATCTGACAGACATTGATGATATTCATCAATGCAAATGTATGTCTATCTTTTATTGGCATATGGAGGGTGAGAGCACATTGTGTTCTGGTTTCAGGCCTTTATAAAAACATACTAGAGAGTAGAGACGATCTTTTTAAAAATGAAGTGCATTCACATCACTGTGTGTGTTCATGTGTGGTGAAATAATTTTACGAGAGTGGTGAGAAACAGTGCAAAGACATTGTCTTTTTAGACTGAAAAGAGAGAGAGATTGAGAAGAAACTGGCCAGACATTGCTCTTTCAGAACCAAGCACCGCTGGATCTGCATTTTCTTTCATACTAATCTTCTCATGATTTAGAACCAAAAAATATCTGTGAGTGCAGGTAAATGACAGAAATTTTCTTCAGTGAATTATAGATTAAGGTCTCAGCCTTTACCATAAGATCAATGGTTTTGGGTTTATTTGTTTTGTACATGGGTGTGCAAGAGAGATGGAAATTATAATTAAATCTAAATTCCAGGCCTGCCTTTATGTTAACCCTTGTGTTTGGAGGAAGAACAACTTTCACTTGTTTTTTTTTTGTTTTTTTTTTTTTTTGTCTTTTCTGTGATGGCTGCGATTTACAACATACTCCTAGTTTGTTTTGCTGTGTTGTTGTATTGGTTACTGGTAATGGTGACTCAATGGAATTGAATAAAAGGGCCACTTGTGGTTCTCTATACAAAGTGTGTTGCTGTTCAGGCTTAATTTATTGCTACAGACCTCTAGTGTTGTAAGGCAATCAGCACATTAGATATATGCCATTCGTTGGTCTATTACACTGAATTATTTGCAGTCTGTGAAGGACTAAGATTAGCAAGTTTATTTCTGAATATTAAATTGTGCTGAAACACGGGCCGTAATGTATTTGCTAGTTAAACTGTTTGAAAATGCAAGTCACTTCAGGTCAAAAACATCAATTACACCAGCCCACAACAGTAATGGTGGCTCCTTATGTAATATGTTATTGCCTTCGTTGCCAGATTAGGATTGCCAAGCGCTGCAAAGTCTTTCCTTCAAACATGATCTTTCATCTCGGGGGACAGCTTGGTTGGAGAAAGGTTACATAAATAGGTTAAGTATGAATAAAATTAAGCATTAGCTATAACAAGGCCTCATTCAACGGTGGCAAGATTTTTTTGGAACCAAGAGGAGAAAGAGTCAACAGCCTTGAGTAACACGGCAGTACGCAGCAAAGAGTACAGGCCTGGTCTCCAGTCTCCACTAGGTCAAGGTAAATCACATCCACACACGATTTTGATCTGAATCTGGCAAAAATATTACATAAGAAAGGATTTAGAGAAAAGGCTACTTTCTTTTGACTCGAGATGAATTCAAGGAGGATGGCTGTCATGGTAACCTCAAGCAACAAACATGGACTGAACTCTCTGCATCGCCTAAATCTGTTAGCAACAGTATTTTATCGTATGGTGTTGTTTTTTTCTAAATCTGAGAGGAACGCCCTTAATACTTCTTTTGTCATCCAATTTGTTAAAGGTCCTAGAGAGGATGAGATGAAATATGCATAAAATGTTTTTGACAAAATTGACACTGACGTTCAGCTATTCCCATATACACATCCTTGTAACAACAAAAAAAGTCATATCTAGAGCAAAGAAAATATAAATATTGAAATACAATGCTTTTTGAATGGCACAACACAATATTAACGCTTTAATAATCATCCTAAATCGTTTTTGCCTTTGAATTATACAAGTACAATTCTATATATAATATTGTTTTTGTTTTCACAACTATGTTTTTAGTAAAAATCTAATTGAGGCCTATTTGATATGAGCAAAATCCTTCTTTTTTCCTCAAAAACATTGATCCGTTGATATGCAAAATCAGTCTTTAACCCGTTTAACCCCAATTTTTTTTCTTGCAACTTCAGTACATGCATTTTACTCCTTAGACCTCCCTAACACTCAAACATTATGGCTTTTTTTGATTTTATGTTAGTTAAGTTAGTGAAATATTAGGTTTTTTATTCAGTCACAATAGTGACCGGTGGGAAATAACAGTCAGAATTCATTCAAATTCTTCAATTAGACCTATTGATACAATTCATTCCAAGACATCCAATATCTCGTTTTGTCATTTTGTGAAGAAGGCTTAGTGAGGTGAAAAGGTTGTCATGTACAAAATTACAGCCTGGAGGAACTTCTGCTTGTTCGGCTAGACCCATACGGGCTAGACCATATCTACACTTGAGCCTTGTCCTAGGCCAGTTTCAGTGAGATGTGTGTGCACTCTTTCAGTGCACTGAAGATGGGCCGTACGTTATAGAAAGGGTTGTTTGTGGTCATTTTGTGGGTCACACCAATTTGTTCTAATGAACATCTGCCCAATCCTCCAGATAATTCACTGCTGCATCGTCATTCAATACAGTCTACCTGGCAAATGGGCCGTTTCTCCCTGGTACTCCCTATCTGAGCCATCACTATCACAGTCACTTTCAATTGGGGGTGGGGGGTGGTGGGGAAGGGGGTCATGCAAGTCAAGAAGGTCCAACACATTGAACGTTTCTGGGATACTGATAACTACACTGAACAAAATTATAAACGCAATACTTTGGTTTTTGCCCCCATTTTTCATGAGCTGAACTCAAAGATCTAAGATCTAAGGCCTATTTCTCTCAAATATTGTTCACAAATCTGTCTAAATCTGTGTTAGTGAGCACTTCTCCTTTGCCAAGATCATCCATCCTCCTCACAGATGTGGCATATTCAGTGTAGGATTGCCAATACACCTTATTCACGGCAGCGCCATCTTTGATTTTTAATGAGAATGAAAGCGAGGCTGTGAGGGATAGTCATGCATCTCTTCAATGGGCTGTACTGTTATTTAATGTGTTTTCGGATTGTTCTGCTCATGAAACACTGAAAAAATATCTTTCCAAGAAATTTCAGTTGACAAAAAACTCCCGACAATGTAAGCTGTGGAAAATTGTAAGTATCTAGCAGTTTTATTCAGCTTTTTACAGCGGATGCCATTGGAAACACGGTAAGTCTATCCCTCACAGCCTCACTTTCATACCTGTCATGGCACTGCTCTGAATAAGGTGTATACCTGCCAATACCGGTGTTTTCAATTGAAGCACTGTGTTATACTATCGGTCACAATAACAAATTTACAAGTCTTAAGAGCAAAATATATATGCAGGAGTATAATTCTCAAAATATATCAGTAGTAGACCCTTTAAAGAATATATGTACAAAAAATGATAGTTCTATCTGTAAATTAAGATGTTTTATATACTGCTTTTTGTAGTAGTCTGAGGAAGAAATCTTCTTCTAGATGTGCAAGCAGGAAGTTAACTGATCTGGTCACATTAGTCACATGACATTAATTGATTTTTAATCAAGACAATCTATTTTGCCATTTAAAAGTTGAATTTATTGCCCAAAGTCAAAAACAACATTTTTAGAACTTCCAGAAATAAGAAAAAAGCTGCGGTCACAATTGTGACCGGTAGGATTAAACTAAACACTGCTCAATCCCAATTTTAAAGGTTCAAACGTCATGCAACCTTTATTCCATAATTGACATTACAATTGCCCCCAACTGCCCAGGAAAGATAAAACATGAAAATGATTTGACATATTAACATATTATTAACTTAAATTATCAAATCGTAATAAAAAATGTAAAAAAAAAATCCCCAAATGAAGACTATCAGGGTTAGATGCATTAAATACATTACTGTGGCAGATTAAATCATTGAAAATACATAAAAATAAAAGTCGATATATTACGTTTTATTTAATTGTTCATCATACAACTTGATTTTTTTTTGTCGTTGACCTCATGCAATGACAGCCCTAATAAATAATATGCTAATTTGGCTTTGACAAACATGAAAAACAACCAAAGCACCACATGCTGTGTTCAATGGTATTGCACATTCATAAACGCTTTGTGCAGCGGGGTTCATGATCGCATATTTTCAGTGCTGATCTCATGCAGGCTGTCTGGCAGAGACGGGCAGCGTTCTCTGGGCTGTAATGTTTCAGTTTGACCAGAAACTATGTGGCAGCGGGAGCACTCGCCGCGGTTTCACTGCCATGGCACTCTACCACAAACCACTGGGGCGGCTGCCCAGGGCACCAGAGCCAGAGCGATGGCAGAGGCTTTCCCCTGTGGAGCACCTCCATGTCGGGCACGCAGGCCCACGGAAGTCCTTATGCCACTGGTGGAATTCTGCCGAATTTTACCACTTCAAAGAAGAACCAAACAGCTAAAGGACAACCTCCTGGT